TTCTTTTCCCAAATCTTGAAGGAACAATTCGCTTTTCTTCTAGAGCACCAAGCTCTGCCCCACTTGAATTGAGAGCAGGGAAACTCCAAGCAAATTGTGGAATGCTCAGAGGCTCAGAGGGAAAAGGTTTCAAGCAGGTAAAGGAGGTGAGAGGCTGAGGACGGATAAAGAAAGGGCTTCTGTTCTACTTCGGATTTTGCAGTCACCCGGGCGGGCAGCGCCGGCCGCGGACTCGTTCTCACATCTAGACACTGTACCCACACTTGCACCCAGAGGCTGTCGAGTATAGCGTCTATCCGCATGTCCAGCTTGCACTTAATTGCATGTACACAGCCTCAAATATTCACTTCTACCCAAAGTGCTTCCTGCGATCCTTGAATCCTGAAGTTCGCTATCCCGCGTCAGACCGACTGCTCCCCGGCCCTTCTGAAACCAGTTATTTAACCTGGCCTATGGAATCGAAACCAGACCGCACAGACCTCAGAGAGAAGCCTTGGGAGGAGGAGCCCAAAGGGAGGAGGTCTTGGGGGGAAGGCCCTGGTCCCCACTTTAATGGTTTGTTTCTGAGTTGCCTCCATAGGTCAGATTTCCAGTCAGTGTAGACTGGTTGGGCTGCTTTGCTCCTGAGGGTAAAAAAACAGGATCCTCCTTCACCAGCTAAATTTCTTTTTGAAGTTTTTGTTCCTTCTGTTTTCTTTTCTTCCTTCCTTTCTCTCTTTCTTTTCCATCTTCCCTCTTTCTCTTCATTATTTTCTTCTCCTTTTTCCCTCTGTAATTTTCCTTTATTTTTTCCCCAAGACTAATTTGTTATCTTGTTTCCTTCCCTTTTTTCTTCTTTCTTTACTATAACTTTATCCTTTGCTTTCTTCAATTCCGTCCTGCCCCTCAACTTTTAATCCCCCCACACACACACCCCGGCTTACTTAATTTTTCTCTGTTAGCTGGGTTTTGTGAGTAGGAAAATGATGGGCTGGATCCATGCCTCCCCATTCTAGTTGCTCCAGTTTGAAGTTGACCTTCTGCCTTCAGCCTCAGCCCAGCTCCTCACAAGGCGAAGTGTACAACAGTCAGCCAGCAGAGGCGGCCAGGCCTCAGAGTCGCCATTAGAGGGAAGGGAGTCGGCACCTCCCCACCAATACCAAAGGTTCCTTGAAATGCCAGGCTCCAGGGGTCCCATCTTCATTTCCACCCCACTAAAAAGAAACTTGGTCCTCAAGACTCATAATTAGAGAAAAGTTCCCTTATCTTTGTTCTGACTCCAGAACTGAGCAATAACTAAAGTTGAGCCTGTGTGTGCTCTCAGCACTATAGTTAGAAGTGAGAGAGTGAGCAGCATCTGTCTGCCAGTTACAGGTAGAAGGAAGGTCCAAAGGGTCATATGTAAGTTGGCATTCAAGGCCATGTCCCTACATAAGTACTTTTGTTCTAGGTAGAGGACTCAGGAGAACTGGAGCCCTCTGGGCCGCTGTCTACTTGGATTCTGTAACAACTGCAACCTCTAGGCAAGAATTTCCTGGTAGTTTGAATTTTTTTTTCCTTAAGCCCCAAAGGGCTGTGTGTGCAAAAGCTCCAACCCCCAAATTAGGGGTTTGAACCAGGATTATATGACTTCTCTACTCCAAGAAGTGGGTAGAAGGGGTGTGTGTGTGTGAGAGAGAGAGGGGGGGGAGAGAGAGAGAGAGAGAGAGAGAGACAGACAGACAGACAGACAGACAGACAGACAGACACAGAGAAAATAGAGCCTACAACAAAACAGGCTAAAATGGGGGAAGGCTTGTCATACTGCTGACATTTTACAAATTCTGTGGATCTATAAATAGTGCATCTCATGCATGGCGGATAGGGCTCTCTCCTGAATACCTGCAGCTTCTGTTTGCGGGTAGTTCCCCAAAGCCAGGTCCAGGGTAGACCCCAGAAAGGATTGACCTGACTTTCAAGCCTTTTTGTCTTCAGCAAAGAAAACTACCCCGACACATATGATGAAGCCCCAGGGCTCATCTTTCTCTCCTTCTTCTCAAGGATTCCATCCTGTGTCAAGACCTAAACTAAGCTTTTTTTTTTTTTTTCTTCAAGGAGGGGGAATCTTGTAAAACTTTTATGCCAAACAAAGTTATAAAAACTTCCAGGGCGTTGCCTTTTCTACAGGTTTATATGAATAATAAAGAGTGCAGTCGCGTGCACACTATACTGGCCAGCTCTGGGCAGGGAAGGCTTACTAAACAGCATTATCCATCCTTAAGGCACCAGGAAAACCTCAGGGCTACCCACTTCAGGGAATATTGGCCTGGAGAGGAATTGTCCTACAGATTCCTACGGGGGCAAGGGGCGGGAGGGTTGGGGTAGTGCCCTTGACTCCCTTGAAGTTCAAAGTTCTCCTTTGCCTTTCTTGAGGAAAGGCCTCTCTTCTGTCAGCCCTCTCAAGAAATGAGCTCCGGGTAGTTCCTTCCCTTCTGGTTAACTGATTATGAGTAACTCCAGCTCTCTTCACTTTCAGCCACCTGGTCTGCACCTTTTATCGCCACCCCACCCCCTAGCAAAGCTTTCCAGTCTTTGTGTCTGGGAGACCTAGAACCCAGGGGCTTGCTCTCAGAGTTGGGGTGGTAGGTCCACCTTCATGGCTCCTCTGCTTTGCATTTTCCCCAGCCACCTAGGGTCTGAGTGACAAAGAAACTCCAAATCCAAAGCTACCTCCAGCCCATTTCTCATTTCAAACACCCCTGACTCCCCTTGCACCCCCAAAAGCCCATAGTGGAAAGGGGGTGGGGCCCAGAGAGCTCTCTCAGCCCACACCACTTAATACCCTTGTAAACTCCCACGTGCGCTATAAACTTGGATTTTTACAACCAACATTCCTCCTTTAGCTCCAGGAAACTTTGAACTCGGCCTCTGGTTTATTTACTTGGGGGGTGGGGAGTTGGGAGCTGAGAAAGGCTGGAGGAAAAGAGGGAAAACGTGGGGCAAAGGGATGATGGGGTGGGGGGTCTGGGGTGTGTTGGGAGAGCCAAGACCATCCACTGGGGGTTTGTTTACTGTTTAGGACGGAAGCATTTTCTAACACAGGCCAGACTGGGTCGTTAAGGGCGAAATGAAACTGGGTTTAGAGGCTCGCGGACGCTTTATGGCGGCGTCTAGACTGCGATCTTTTGTTCCAGGGCAGCGTTGCGGCTGGAGGGGATTACCCCAAGGGGCTGAGCCCAGAGTGCCCCTGCCAGCAAGGGGGGTTGGACATCCCAGGAGTTTGAAGGTGGGTTTGCTTGGGGGCCAGAGAACCTCTTTTTTTTTTTTTTTTTTTTAAAGGTCGCCACAGAATGTCAGGTTCTTGGGTTCAGATCACACAAGCCTTTGTTTTTCTTTCATGATAACTCCCCTCTCATCCTTTAGAAATCTCTTTTGGAGGAGAGATTCTTTTCTGGGCTGTGTATTTGTGGGAAAGTAATAACTGCAAGTTTTAAATATTTTTCTCTAAAATCAGGAGTCCTTGGATGCTAGTAGTTTCCTTTTAAAACCGGTTTGTTCTGTGGCTGACTATTGTTAAGCACAAATATGGCCGGCATGCTAACAGTCCCTGGTATAGCTGGATATAGTGGATAAACATCACATCTCAAGAAATTCCCTCCTCTCATGCACACACAGAGGACCCTCTGTTGTATTCCTGTCTACATTCATTAAATACTGACAGTGTTCACACACCAGGAGGACATAAGCTATGTGCATCAGGTCACATTTCTTCCATGCAGACAAAAGTGCACAACCACACTACTTACTCCTCATGTGCACATATAAAGACACTGCCTTGAATGATAAAATTTTTGTGGGTGAGCACATGAAAGACTGTGAGCCACAATACACCTAAGTTGGCAAATCTCAAAGAGCCACACTTAAAAATGAGAGATTCAGATACTTAAGCTACAGGAATCCCTGTCATCCAGAGAGCAGTGTCTGTACTTGAGACCCAGGGTGCTCTCTCCTTCCATCCAACAATGCATCATGAATGAAAACATTTTCTTGGAATTCCATGGGACAGAAAGACAGAAGGAAGATGAGAGTTGGTCCTGAATCTCTTACCTCAAATAACAAATTCTGAAGAGATGGATGAATGTCCTTACTGAAAGAACTAAAGGGATTAGTTAACTTTCCACAGAAGAAACACATGCAGAAAGTACAGATTGGGGTAGACTGCCCCCATAAGTCACCTCCTTCCCCAGTGACCTTCTCATTGCTGATCCCTACAAAACACATCTCTTGGGCATTTAACTCGGGGACACCCAATGTATAAAAGTCAGGGTGGCCCCAGCCTAGGCATCTGGTTCTGTCCGGAGGAGCTTGACCATTTGGGCCAAAGGGGAAGGGGAAGAGGAAGGGGATGGGCCTCACCTTCCCACCCCTAGAGGCTGTGAAAAAGATAGGGAGGGGCTGGTTTGTCCCCCTCTCCCTCCTTCCTTTAAAACTGTATATTTAAATTCCAGTGAGAGAGAGAGAGAGAGAGAGAGAGAGAGAGAGAGAGAGAGAGAGAGAGAGAGCCCTACCCTAAGCCCTACATATTTGACCACGACAGACGGAGACATCTGGCAGGAGGGCGGTGGAGCCAAGAAAATTCCTATAAATTTAAATTTGATGATGGTTACAATTAACTCCACAACAAACGTGTACTTAAACAGAAAGCTTTGCTGGGCATTTGGACACAGCTCCAGTTGCACGTGAGAAAAGGAGCTTAGGACTAACCATAGACTGTCCCCTGCTCCAGAGCTGGAGCAGTCTTTGGCCACCTCGTGCTCCTGCCCGTGGAGCTGAGCACCAGTGTCCCAAGCACTGGCCTGCCTCACCTCAGAATGCCTAGCTCTCACCAGCAGACTGTCCTAACTGTAGCAGCCTCCTCCTCCTCCTCCTCCTCCTCCTCCTCCACCACCACCACCGCCACCACCATCACCTCTGCTGTCTTAGGAGCGCAGGGGGTTTTAAGAGGAGAGGGGTTAATAAAAAGGTCAAATAAAATCATAATATTGAACAGAATGAAATATCTTTATTTGCCACCAAAAGAATTCACAGCAATCCCTCTGAGACAGGAGTAGGGTGGGGATCGCACATTTACACACGCACTCACGCACATGGACGGTTAGAATCTCACTCCGGTTCAGCCTCCCCCTTCCTCTCCAGGTAGAGAGGCTTATGAAATTTATTTACAAAAGTTCAGGCCCCAGCTAGGGAGAGGTGCCCAACCTCATTTTCCTATGCCTCCTCCACCCCAGTCTTGTTTCTTTTTAAGGAGGTAACAACTGCATAGACTGGCAATAAATCTGGGGGGACACTGCTTGGGAAAAGGTTAGGACACCTCAATGCACCAGTTAGGAGTTTTCAAAAGAGGGCTCTACACGTTTAGGGTGAGAACAACTAGGCTCAGGCGGGGCCAGGCTCAGACGGAGGTAGGATTTGGACTTTGCACACCTAACACCAGGGCAAAGGTACAGGAATTTCACAGCAAGGCAGGATCACATTTAGCAGTCCCCTAACCGAGGGGTAAGGTGGGGTGGGGGCGGGGAGCCCGGGAGGTCTCGCAGACAAGGTGGCTCAGCGGATCTTTTCACTTGGGCTAGGGAAGGCTTGGAGTTCAAGGATTGTTCGGCTCCGGCGCCCACTGTGCTCGCCCCTCCCCTCACCCAGTCGGAGCAGCAAGACTTTGTTGCAAGGTGTATTTTCTTTTAAATAAACAGTCTTGGGGCCTTGGCGCCAACAGGGTCCACTAGCCACGGGTCAGACACTTCCCTCGCTCCTTTTTCCACGCGGGGTCTCTGTCCCTACAGTGAATTAGACCCGAGGCGAAGGAGGTTCTGGGAGGAAGTGCCAGTAACGGCAGTGGGGGGCCAGCCCTGGCCACAGTCCAGTTTTCCACCCGCGGAAAAAAGACGACTTAGAAAATAAAATAAAAATAAAATAAAATAAATTTTCCCCTTTCCCCCTCCCCCCACCCCAAAGGGCTAGGTCTGCAGTTACAGCAGCGGATTTCCTGAAAAATACTGCAGCCGGTCTCTGCTCAGTTTTTTTTCTTTCATCCTTCTGTTCTGAAACCAAATTTTCACTTGTCGGTCAGTCAGGTTCAGCATCCGGGACAGCTGCAGCCGCTTCTCTTTGTTGATGTACACGTTGAAGAAAAACTCTCGCTCCAGTTCCCGGATCTGGAATTTCGAATAAGGGCAGCGCTTCTTGCGGGTGCGGGGGGCGTCTGGAGGGAAGGGAGGGGGCAAGTGCGAGGAGAGGGGAGAGAGACACGTGAGACCCCAGGCGACCCCAGCGGACCCCAGCCGCTGATCGCTCAGCCGCACTGCTACCAGTCCCGCCGCCGGGCGACCCTCCCCCTAGGCCGGCGGCTCTTCTTCCGTAGCCGCTTCGCTGGGGCAAGCCTCGATCCCACTGCCAGGTCTGGCTTAGACCACTGAGAGTCTGGTGCCCCCTGCCCCTCAGGCAGAGCCCTAGCTGACAGGGTCTGCGGGTGGAGGAAAGCCTGCCTGGGCCACGTGCTTTCCCTGGGGGTGCTCTGCCTGCTCCTCGGTGCTGCCCTTGCCCCTTCCCAGTGGCCCTCCTAATGCTTCTGCAAATCCATGATACCCCTCCTCCAGAAATCCAAGAGAACCGCGGAGAATCGGCGCGAAGGAGTGAGTTCAGGCGAGAGCAGTGGAGAATCCAGGCAGGAAACCAGCGAGGAGTGGTAGCTGGACACCCCGGAGCCTCCCGCCAGGCCCTGGCGCCCCGGGACGCCCCGCCGTCTGCCAGCCGGGCTAAGCACACTGCCTGGCTGGGCCTGCCCAGAGGCCAGAGACCCTGGAGAGCCATTGACACCCTCAGCGCAGAGGAACTCCGATCTTTCCCCCACTCCCCTATCACCGCCAGACCCCGGTTTGCCCGGATTTAGACCCATAAAAGCACGTAATTTGAGCATTTTTTAAAAAGTCGTTTTAAAAAGAAGCGGAGCGGCCTTAGAGCGCCTCTCTGGGTTCCAGTCCTGCCGCTGTCGCTTCTGTCCCTTACCTCTCCCCCTCTCTGGGTTTCTCCCGGTCTGTCCCTCGCCCTCCCCTTTCCCCCCCTCCACCCCTCCCCTCCCTCCCAACCCCCCGGCAGCCCGTCTCCCCATCCTTTCTTAAACGCTCCTCTAAGTTCACGATCAAAGTTAATATCGCCCGCAATGGTGGCACTTTTAAAAATTTCACAGACCGAGGGAGATAACGGAGGAGGGGGGCTCACCCGGCTTTTCCAAAGAGCCCCTTTCCCTCCCTCCCCACCCCTTCTCCATCGTAAAAAGTCGAGTCGTTGGGAGAGAGGGCTTTGTAGGTTATAATAAAATCCTTTGAATGCTTATAAAACTCCACATAAAATCGGACTGACCCAAAACACGAGGCTGTCCGCGCTCCCCTGGCCTCCCCCCCTACTCCAGCCCTCCCTCTCCGCTCCCTCCCTCGCTGCCCTCGGGTTCCCGGCCGCTGCTACCTACTGGGGGCGGCTCCCTTGGCCGGCTCCTTGGTCGCTGAGTGGGCAGAACCAGACGAGCTGGGATTCGTGTTCTCCTCCTCGGCCTCGGCCTCAGCACCGGCCTCTGCCCGGGACGCTAGTCCCGAGGCCGGGGGCGCCTCAGGCTCCCCCTTGGCCTCGCCTTTGCCGGAGCAGGGGGGCTCGGCGGGCGCGTCTCCGCCACCGCAGTAGGCGTTGTCGAAGAAGCGGTCGAAGGCTTGGGGCAAGACGCTGTTCTTGTTGACTGAGGAGTAGAAGCCTGCGGGGGCCGCGTGCGGGGCGCTGGGGTGGTGGTGGCCGCCGTAGGAGCCTTCATTTTTCATGAGGATCTCAGTGACTGTGGAAGGAGGCAGGCACTCCCGGTGCATAAGCTCGTCGGCCGCCGCATAGCAAGACGAGTAGCTGTTCCGATGGTGCCACTTGCCGGACGGCTCCAGGCCATAGGAGACCTCCCGGACTGGGGGCACCTGGGCTGAGTAGGGATAGGAGATCTGACGAGAGGGGGCCTGGGGCAGGAAGGAGGAGACGGTGGAGAACTCTGGCACGTAGTAAGTGCAACTGGGCAGATAGAGGTTGGAGGCGCAGCTCCCTCGCTCGCCGAAGTCAGCACCCCTCTCCTTGCGCGAAGGCGAGCAGAAGTTGCCCAGGTTGACCGAGTTAAACATCGTTCTCTTCTCCTGACTGCTCCGGATGGAGGTTTTGGACCCGGTCTAGCGAGGGGGGAAATTTTGGGAAGGCGAGATGACGCGTTATCCGTCTTAGTCTCTCTCCCCGAGCACGTGATCCAAAGTAGATATTGTCATATATCAGTTCGGAGCACTTCGCAGACGTAGGAGGGGTTCTCTCTTAGGTAAGATCGGGGACGTTCAGGCGATTGGTTTGCAAACACCGCAGAAACATTATGAAAATCAATTGCAGATTTGTATTCGTTTTTCTCTCGTCACTCCCCTCCTCTCCATTCCATAGAGCGAGCAAAGGAGGAGAGAGAGAGAGGGTTGGGGTGGGGTGGGCGGTGGGATGGGCGGGGGCGGTGGCTGGGAGGGGGTAATTGTATTTTTTTCCTAGCTGCTGCTCCCCCCACCCCCCAGGATTGGGGGAAGGAGGAGAGCTTTCCGTTTAGGGGTCTGGCCTCCTCCTTATGATCCGCTGGGTGAAGAGGAAGGACTTTTTCCTACCTGATTTCCCCAGGAATATTGAATCCTTCTCCTCAAGTCTCAGGGACTCTTATCCCCTCTACCTGAAGAATCAGCTCCTGTTTACAAGAGTTTGAAGAAGTCCTTTAGATTATTTTCCTGGCCAGAGCCAGGTGAGCTCCCTTATAGGACAGGTTCCCAAGAAGAGTATCTGAAGTTTCCCAAAGGTGAGGCAGCCAGGCTGTGAGCCAATGTCCCAACTTTGCCTAGCCTGCTGTGCTGCCGCTGGCTAGGGACTCCTATTAGTCATAAACCAGTGGTGAGCAGCGAGCCAGCCGCCCAGCCGGTGCCTGGCGAAGTCTGGGAAAAACCTTCTCTAATGTTGTGTTAAATATTTAGTATGAGAGAGTGGCCCTGGGTGAATATTTCATGCCTGACTTTATTGTCAATCAATGTGCAGAAAGCTACATCCACTGTGGATTTTAAAATCCCAAACCCCAAAGAAAAAGATTAGAATGAGAGTCATCTATCTTCTCTATCTGGGGCCCTTCGAGTTGGGAGCTCAGCTTCAGCTAATGGGCTGAAAAGAAGCCTGGCATTAGGGTCCACTGTTAAGGCAACTAAATTGGGGGGTCCTTTTTTTAAAAAAAAATGATTTTGGGAGCTTAGGGGGGCAGAGAGGCCGGGTGTCTATCTCTAGTATCAATCAACAAGACAGTGGAATAAAACTGTGGTCCCACTGTGGGCAGGGTGGGGCCAGAAGTCCCCAGCGCCCCTCATTGCTTCTTTTCTCTGCCTCCTCCAGCTTCTCAGTCCAACCCTGCCCTTCCTCAAGTCTGTAAGCCTCCTTCCTGGACTGCTGTGTCCAGAGGGGAATACTCAGTGACTCTGCCCTCCCTAGCCTCCCATCCCTTTGGCCATTACAGCACACATCTGGGCAGCTGAAAATAACTTTATTGAAAGGTTCTGGACTGGGTCCATGGGGCCAGAACAGCTGGCAGAAGCAGAAAGTAACGGTCACTTTGGTCCTAAGAAGGAGCTATCAGGACAGAACTGCTAACGGAGAAGAGTGAAGCCCCCCACCCCCCAGCAACTCAGCTCTGTACTCTTAGGGAAAATCAAAGGTTGTTCAAACTATCTTTGCATCCTTAAGGCTGGCTTCAAATAGGCTTTCCTCTTTAAAGTGTTTGATTTTCTTTGTTGAAGGGCGAGGCACTGAAATCCTTAACCAGACAGGGAAAATACAAAAATAGTTAGCTTATTTCCAAATATATCCCCCCAAACTCTCTCCTCCTTAACTCTTCTACCTGTCCAAATTTACTCAGTCTTTAGAATAACACTTGGTGGAATCTGCCTCCACCACAATGGGTCTCATTCTGGTGTGTGTATGGGGGGAGTGTGTCCTGAAATACTGCAGAAGAGACCTCCAGTGTCAATGCTCTTAGTGCTAGGCATTGCTTCTTGGACTTAATAGTCTTGGCCAGATCTTAACTGAAGGCAGATAACTAGACTGGGTTATCTCCGTAGAGAGGGGGCCAGAAACAGAAGAATCTGTTGCACTTTCCTTCCCTTTAGTCTTTTTTTATAGGAGGAGCTGGGGGCAACATTTTTAATTATAATGGTGGGGGAACTATGGACTGTGGCTTTTATGGGGTTTGCACTGACCTCATTAAACTTGAGTTTACTGGAGGCAAAATGCTCCCCAAACAGTGATAGAAGCCAGAAAGAGGAAGGCCAGAGGTACCCCATCTCTTGCAGAGATGAGGGCAGTCTGGGCTCCAGCTTTCCCCATGTTCCCACCAGGTTCTACCTCCTTCTTCCTCTGGATCTCCTGGGCAGTGTGGGGCCCAATCCCCTAAGTCCTGTTTTGCACAGCCTGGAAGAAGGGGTGGGGGTTGCTTCCTGTGAGAAGACAGCTGTGGGCCTGAGCACTTGAATTTGACCACCAAAGTTTATTCCTGGGCCACCATAAAAGTGAGGCGGGCGGCTGCAGAGAGCCATCTGATTTTCTTGAAACCCCAAGAAGGGTGTTAAGGAGATGATGTCTAGGAATCTTCAGGGTCCTCCCACAGATGTGTGGAAAGGAATATTCTTCTCCATTAAAGCAAAGCATGAGGTTTATTATTTTTTTTTCTGGTGTTGGTCTTTCAAAAAATTTAAAACTACTTTAAAAAAAAAAAAAAAACCTCAGCAACTGGTAATTGCTGCTGGGGTCAAGGAAAGAAGGCCCTGGTTTCTGTGGTCAGTAAGCTGTTGATTAGAAAAAAAAAATGTTTTGGGAGGGGTAGTGGCCTGCTTGCCTGGCTTTGGGTCCAGACCACCTGGAAGCCTCCACTGGGTTTGTGCCTTCTCAGTCTGGGCTTCTAGTCACAGCATCCTTTACATTTGGTTGGAGGGAGCCGTCTATGGCCACTAAACCCATCACTTGCAGGCACTCCTGAAGGCAGCTGTTTTCCTTGTTGTTTGTTTTTGTTTTAATTCCTCACCTGGTTGGTGCCGGCCATCCCTCCATCTGCCTACAGTACCGGCTTTCACCCAAATCCACCCTACCTCCTTCAGGGTTCCTGGTGGCCTCAGTCCCTGCTAGCTTGGCGGCTGGAAGGCCACTGCGGTCTGGGCTGCCGCTGCCTCGGTGGTCTGGCTAGAGCTAGCACAGACTGCAGCGGCCTTCCCTCCCACGTAGGGAACAACAGGGTCGGATTCAGAAGGGGGCACTGTCTACTGACTTCTGTCCTGGGCAGCTCCTAGGGCAGCCTCCCCCAACAGCTCTGAGCAGCCTTTCCCTGAATTCTGGAGTACAGATCTTGATAAGGGAAAGAGACCACCCCATAGAGGTAGGAAGAAAACCCTGGAAGGAAAAAAGGAGGCCTTAAATCCAGTCTCTTGTGGAGTCAATAAAAAGAAGGAAGAAGTCCTGCACATACGCATCCTCACTTGTCCCCAGGCTAGACTGGCGAAGAAGAGCCCAGATAGAACAGCTTGCGTCTCTTCTTGCTCATTTTTCTTTCACTTAGCAGCAACAAGGAGGCATAGAATAAACCTTTAGCGTGTTTGGGGATTTTCAAGCCAGAGGTTTATTTTGAACCCGGGACACCCACATCTCACCCAGTCCTTAGAGATCCAGAACGCACAGGACTGCCTGTTTTCTCCTCAGCCCAGGTCAGCGCGGCAAGCCCAAGGTTTCAGGTTAGGCCACCAAAGCGGGTGGACCCGCTGGAGGAACCTCCAGACCATGGACAAGGTAGGGGAGCAAGGAGCAAAGCCAACCTTTGCCCCACTCAGCTTCCTCCCCGAGGGGTTGTCCCCGGGGACTAGCAATGCAAACCCATTTCTCCCATAAAAGCCCCGTTTTATGAGCCAGCTTCACCATGAAGAACCTATCTTAAAAGCAGTCGGAGCCGCTGCTATTGGGCCTTAGTTTCCAAAGCTAGTTGCGACTCCACAGAAAATACCTTTTCTGTGGGAGATCTCCCGCCTCGCTGCTGCGGCGGAGCACAGGCCGGGTTGGGTTGGCCGAGGGGCCATTCCCCGGCTTTAGCGCCTACTTAGGCTCGGACCCAGTCTCCGTTGATCAAAGTGAGCTCGCGGCATTTTTATGAGATCAACTTCAGTGGCTCTTTACTTGTAATCAGACGCCTGGGTCGAAAATGCAAAAGGGAACAGCTCGTCAATCCAAAATGGAAAAGGAGGGAGGGAGGGAGGGGGAGGAGAGGGAGAGGGAGAGAGAGAGAGAGAGAGAGAGAGAGAGAGAGAGAGAGAGAGAGAGAGAGAGAAAGAGAGAGAATAAAAAATAAGGTGACACAGAAGATCCCAGTCACCTACGAAAAAGACCCTTTGCCCCCAGCAACAACGGTTTGTGGATCTGTCCCAGCTTCCAGGCCCTGCCTTCTGCCAGCACATTGGCCCGACTTCTGAGCCCTAATGCCAGGGCGGACAGAGAGGAGCCCTGACTCGCCTGTGTTAGGAAACTCCATCTGAAGCTTCCACAGTGGAACCTCCTCGCGTGGGCGAGGTTACGGCCTAGAACAGCACAAGGAAGCCGCCTTCTGCTCGTTTTAAGTCTCCCCCTCTCGCTGCTTTCCTCCGCGGTCGTTCTCCGTGGTTCTCTCTTCACTACAGCCAGAAGTTGAGTTACAGGAAGATTCGCCAGAGATTTATCGCCTGGCCCCAAACTTGGAGAGCCTCGTTGTCATAAACAGCCGTCTATTGTCTAGACTTTTATCTCCGGGTATGGATCTGGATCTTGCATTAGTGAGGCTCTGGGGATACCGACTGTCTCCGCGGTGTGTGCAGTGCAGCCCGTGCCTGCCGGCGATCACTGGGGGTTTGTTTGGGTCAGTTTAGAAGCAAAAACAAATTTGTTCTTGGAGCTGTGCAGGTATACCTAAGTATTCACGGAAGGAAGCCTGGGATGGGGAAGGTCTCTTTCTCTCTCTGCCTGGGAATATTCTGGAGCGTGTACTTGTGTGTTGGGTGAGAATTTGTCATGGTGTGCTTTGTTCTGGGCATTTTAAGTGTTCCTGTCTGGGCTTTTTCGGGTTTTATTAACCCGCATCCGCTTGGCTGGTTTATGTCCCTTCCAAGCAGATCATCTGGTGTTTTTCAGTATTAGAGTCTATTGTGTGTGTTTGGCTTCTCTGGGGAAACGGTTTGGGGTGACACCTTCTCAGCCCCTCTCAGGTTCTCCTCCCCACCCCAGTCACAGCTTTGTCCTTCACAGAATGTCTGGCTCTGTCTCACTCTTTTTCAAGTTCCTCAAAATCTCCAAAGAGTCTGGCAGTTTTCTGTCACAGGCATGGAAAACACTGTTGCAGGGTGACCTCTGGGTATGACTGTCTTTCTCACACTAGGGGGAAGCATCTCAGCTAATAACTAACCCCCTGACTTCCTGGAGCTCCCCTTCACAAGCTGAAGGACCATCAGAAGGGACCTTCTCAGTCCATTTCAACCATTTGGAATACTGTGAGCAGAATTCTAGGCCATGCAAAGAAAGCCTGCCACCCCCTCTGTGAGGATTCCTGACAGCAGATGTCCCCATCTTGGCCGCCCTCAGCCCATATCCAAAGAATCCAGGCACTCCAAGACACAGTGGTTGCCTGTGGGTGAAACATTTATCTCTTCGGGTCCCAGGGACAGACATTGTGTGGAAAAATCAGGATCCCTAACACCACCAGAAACAATGAGATCAAGCCCTTTTGTTTTTCATATAAGATACTGGGTAGGAAGATATTAAGGTAAGGAACCTGATTGTTCTATCAACTGATCCTGTCTGCAGCTCCTGGCTGCTGCCACCCAGGCCTCAGACCCACCTCAGGTATCTTATAGACAAGACTAGAGACATTCCCAACCAGGTAGGTAGAGTGGAGTGGAGCTGGTTCTAGAGGTCAGTTTTCCAGTTGGCAAAGTAGAGGTGACCACAAATGATGGCGGCAGAGGCGTGAGAGCCCTGGGTTCAGCCATCATCACTCTTGAAGCATCCAGACACCTCCTCTCCCCCTTTCTATAGAATTCCAATTTGGAAAGAAATAATTAGGCTTTAAGATTGCTCCATGAGCACAGAGGAGCCAAAAACAAGTGATGAGATTCAGGGAAAAGGAGGTGAGTTCTCCATAGATACCTCTAGAAGGAAGGAAAGAATCAAGGATCCAGGTTTAGGCTCCTTCCTCCCAGCTGTTCCCATCACCGATTGCCTGCCGATCATGATTGCTGACTGGGCTACTCAGTATCTCAAAGCCTGTCTCAGGCTCCGCCTTACTCTCCTGCGCCTGGCCTTCCTTCATTCCTACTTCCTAGCTCTTTGAAACCAAGAAAGACAGAATAAACTAGCTTCTCCACACCAGCCGGCCGGGACGAGGTGAGTACCAGGTCCTTGCAGCTGGAACTTCGCTTCCAATCTCACCAGCTGCACACTTCTTTGGTAATTGCCGGGTTAAAATGCTCCTTTCTCATTTCTCTCCTTCTCTCCCTTTCCTTCCACCTCAGGATCTGATAAATAAACAAATGCAAGCTTACCACTACACCAGCCCTCCCCATCCCTGTGACCTCATTCCTACTTACCAAATATTTCCCTTTGTTTTCAGCTCAAAACTGTAATATTCAGACAGACATTTAAGCTGTAAATGAAGTTTTTTCTTTATGATGCTTAATTTTCTCTCCAATTCTTAAAGTCCTTCTTCACCTCGCTGCTGTAGAGTGGAAGGGATTTACAAGTCCGCAGGGGCGATGGGGAGTAAAGAGATCGTGCCCAGGCTTAGAGACAATGGGGAAAGATACAGAAGGCAGAAAGAGGTGGGGGCAGCCCCAGCAGGCAGAGAGCAGAACCAGAGGCAGAAAAGAAGAGAAAAGTTTCCTGGAGTATTCATTCGCTGACTTCCCTGTCCACAGCTTCCCGGGGCTGCAGAATTCACCCCCAATAAAGGAAGGGGGCTTTTTTTTAAGTCCTGCGTTTACAACACCAGAAATGCCAAGGCTAAATCCTTCTAGAGAGAAAAGCTGAAACGGAGGACCGACTCCTTCCTTGTAAGGTACCCTGCTAACTTGACCTTCACTTTGCCCGGTGCTCCCGCCCACCCAGACTGTTGCAGAGCAGCTATGACCCTCCTCGCCGCTGCCTCAGCTACGGACCCTCGCTCGCCTCCGTCTTCCTGGCACCTCTTTTCTCCTTCAGTCTTCTCCTTTTCTGCCCTTTCCTTTTATTTATCTCCTGATGTTTTATTTCCTGGTTCTTGTTGCTGTCCCTCTTTGTTCATCCCCACCTTGCTCGTGGTCTCACAGTTTCTCTCAACACTCTATTGCCTCACTCTCTGTTTCTGTGGCGATCTCGTCCTTTCTCCTGTAGTCTTCAGATTGCTCAACTCTTCCCAACCATAAGAAAATTAGTATATTTTCCCGATTCCTGCCTTTAACTGACCTCCCTAGCTCCAGCAGGGTATTTACCTCAACTCGGGTGTTGTTGAGGAGTCGACTCCAGGAAAGACAAATTGAGGATAAAAGAAGGCTTCACTCTGGGCCTAGTTCCCATTTGGGGTTGACAATGAACTTGATTTTGATAAGCTCCTTCCTGTCTTGCTCTAACGGACCTCACCCTCCAAGTCTCCATAACCCTAGTGGCCTTGTGCTGAGAACTAAGCCACCTACTGAGGTGAGAGCAACACCCATTGCCCCCTAGGCTAAGAGGGGGCTGAGTATCAAATTATTGTTTCATCATCTTGTCTTTGGACTTTATATCCCCTAAAATCCTAGAGATTTCCCTTAAAACATCCAGGGGAGGAATTTACAGTCCTAGGGATTTCTGGAGATTCCCACACATATAAAAAATAGGAAAGAGAAAGATTTCTAGGGCCTCTCTACCTCGCCTCCAGCTTCCAACAAAGCCTTCAACATTAACTCTAATCATATCTTACGTGGTTATAAAATAATATTATTGACGCCCTATAATTACCTATTATCCACTTACTTGTGATGATTACAGTATTAAAGAAGGCAGACCTATGCAGACAAAGTGAATCCAAGCTAATATCCAAAATGAAAATGAAACTGGATCAGAGAACTTCAACCAGATCTCATCATTTCTCCACCGACTTTCAAATCTGTAAGCTCTTGCCTGGGACCTCCTTGATTTAAGGGTAATTATTTTGCAGGACTTAGGGTATACTGAGAGATTCTACCTTCTCCTTTTCCCCCCTGTATCCCACACACCACCTGCCCCCTCCTCCCTCTCCTTTACACAGACACCAGAGAGCGTCAGACAATAAAAAGGAAATACTTTCTCTCTCTCCCTACAATTATCCGGATAATTGCATGAATTCTTCCTTGAATACCACTGTGTAGTCAGGGTAGGGGTTTCAGCCGGAAGTAGAGGGGACGGGATTCCACACAGGGAGGGGGAGCTGAGAGAGTCCCGCGTTCTTACATTCCCAGACTTTATAGTTCTGTCTAGTGTTACATTGTTTCTTCAGGCAAAGATCTTTGTTCCCTTTCAGTCATATTTCTCCCTCCTCCTCCCTTCCTTGCTCCCTCCCCCCTTTTTTGGTCCCTTTAAAGGAGACTCAGATCATCTTCTGCTCTTAATAGATGACTATAAAAGTAAAATTAATTCCCCCTTGCCCTTTAATATCAATATCTCTCTGTTAAGTATGCACATCGGCGAGAATAAACAGAATTAAGTGCTACAACCCAAACCAGCAATTACACCTAAAGTGTTTTTTTTCCCCCTTCTTTTCACGAGTCTGGCTTATCTGGGGGGTGTTCATTCTCCGCTCTCATGCAAGATAACCGGAGCATACTTGTATATTTGTATTTTTTACAAGCTCGTTGGAGCCAGCCGAAGCCCTCACCAACCCAGGCAGAGAGAGCAAGAGCCGAAGGAGGGAAGAGAGCGCCAGGCATAGACCAAAGGGAACCACCCAGAAATGTGGGGAAAGGAGCCGGTGGACGTCCCCAACAGTGGCAGAAGGAAAATAGACACACCCGCACGAAGAAAGGTTCATGTTTTTTGTTTGTTTGTTTGTTTGTTTGTTTGTTTGTTTGCGTTGTCTTTTAAATTTGTATTTGGAGCTCACTGAAGAAAAGTCAAATTTCAGGCCAGAGGACAGAAAGAGTTATCTGGGACCGTGTGACCAGCCCAGAAGGAAGAACTCCGGACAAACCCGAGTGGGCGCCAAAGCAGTCGCTTCTGGAGGCTGGGCCCTGGAAGACCTCCTGGAGGCCTCCGGAGCTTCTTTGCTCTCCTTATCATTCTCATCTTTATGACGAGGCTTGTTAACATGACCAGCGAGCTGGCCATGTACATCTATCTCCACCACACACGCGCGCTCAGCCGAGCAGTCGCCGGCGGCGGGGGGACAGGGAGGCACTAATTAATTGGTTCCTTTGGACTGTAAAATATGGCCGCGTCTACACGGAACCTGTGGGCTCATAAACAATCTCTCTGCTGAGTGCGAGTGTACTGTCTCTTAAAGAATCTTTCTATAGGTATATGTATTAGAGTCCCAGGTTTGAAAGACTCAAATAAGATTGTTTTTTCACAAATCACAACCCAGTTCAGTGTCGGAAAATGGACCTGCAAAAGTTTGTGTTATGGGACAGGTTTTCTCTGCTGCTTGTGTAGACCCAGAGATTGGCCTCTGTTAGGATCAAAAGCAAGGCCAAGTTGAGAAGGCCTGAAGCCTCTGCCCTGCCTGGGAGCAGAACGAGCCAAGGTTCAGGTCTTGCTTCATGATGCTGCCTAGGCTCGAGATTATAATTTTTTTTTAATTGACAAACCTTAACCTAAAAGAGTCCATGAGCACTTTAACATACCTCTCCAGATCACAATCCACTCTTTTCCTACCTGGCTGCATAGAGTATTACTATGACATGTTTGCATTAGCCTAGAAGAGTGCATGGTGTGACACAAGATGTGACCTAATCAGATAGCTATAACAACACTATATAGGCATGATTCCATACGGAATCCTGCTGTAAACAGGAGTTAATATGTTCTCAACCGACCACAGCTTCAGACAAGAGACACAAGGCGGGAGATAAAAGTGACCACTTATAGAATAATGCTTGTTGACATACATGGCTGTTTCAAAGACAGAAATACTAGACAAAAAAAGGAAAAAAAGAAAGAAAGGAAGGAAGGGAGGAAGGGAGGAAGGAAGGAAGGAAGGAAGGAAGGAAGGAAGGAAGGAAGGAAGAAAAAAGCCTATGGAGATTGTCATTACCAATATTACCAATGCCAGCACTTATTTCTGGCCTTCAAGGATGCTCTTAAACCTGGCCCTAGTCTCCACACTCAGCTATGGCAGAGAGGCTTCCTGCCTTCCCAGACCCTCAACTCTGATTCTAGTATTTATTTTTAAATGTTTATAATAAAAAATGAGTCCAAAGAATGTGCCAATATAATTTACAGATTTTTTTCATATACTGGGTACATATACACTTTGTATTTATGTAAGAACATGACACAATTTTTACTGAGTTTTTACTGCTATATTAATATCCGGATGAATTTTCATGCTATAGTGCTTCATGTTATGGACTGTAGAAGCATGTAACTGAATGAACTCAGACTAGTACATTCCCTAAATAGGATATATGCACATGTCTTTTTACATTTGTAAATAAATTTTTGCCTGTAAATATAGAGGCTATCGTTCATCTTTTTCCAGTATACCACTTTGCCATGCAGATGAAAGTGCCTCTGTGTGTATATTTCATAGGGAAGTATCTTATCTGTACATTTTAGGCTCTTTGCATATATCAGCTGCGGTCCTTTATGGACCATCTTTCCATGCTCCCGAGTGGACTGTATGATCCCACAGACAGTTTTCCAATCAAGGTTCCATCCACACAGACCGGTCCTTGAAGGAAGTTCTCCACTGGGGATAGCAGAAACAGGCATTGGAAGACTGGTCTCCAATTCCTCTCAGTAAGAAGGATTTGACTTGAACAGGGAAACCACACACTGGAAACGGGCTAGTTCCCACTGGCTAAAGATTGGGTCTCCTCGAGGCCCAATTTATTGACTCCTTTGCCAAGCTTCAGCTTGGGACATAGGCCTTCGGAGAACCACCAGTGACAAGCTTGGCTAAGAAAAGGTTAAGAACCTTAGTTCCAGCAGACCAGGTAGTACCTCAGACACAGGCTGTTCTTCAAGGTCCCCTGCAAACTCAAGGGACTGGAGATTGGGCCGCACCAGGTCCCAGAAAGAAAGTCTCCATCGCTCTGGCCAGCAGGGGTCATCCCGTCCTTCCTGGGGGCCCGGCAGCCCTGGGAAGCGGGCAGAGCGGCGGGCGCGGTTGGGCGCGGAGCTGCCGGCGTCAGCCAGGGCTTTGGACGCGCTAGGTTTCTTCCCAGGGTGAATCAGGGGAAAGATTAGACTGAGGTCTCAGAGCCGTCTCTTCAGTCCCCTGTCCCCAGGCCGGAGCGTTGAGAAGGCTTGAGTAGGGAGAGGTCTAGTAGCCCGCGTCATCCAAGGGCGGCGACGCGCCTTTGTCTCGGGCCTTCTCGGGAGAGGCAACCTCAAGAGTAGGCCAGCAGCGCTCATCCGCTCAAGAGGCCCGGATCTAGCGTGAAAGGGTCCGGCGATAGACCTTTGCGCGGAAAATCAGCAACTGTCTGGACGCCGGCTGCTACAGAGAGGCGTCTGCTTTAGACCGAGGCGGGGCGTGTGCGCGGCTGTGGCCCGAGGGCGGGTGACTCGCCTCACGCTCTGCACCACCTTCCGCGCCCCCAGGCGCCCACTTTGCAGAGGTTCGGCGGCTCCAGGGTGCGTTTCTCCAGCGGCCTGGGCTCTGCAAACCCTTTCCTGCTTTCCTACACACGAAGGGAGGGCTCTCGGGGGGCGACGCGGGAGGGCGGGGGGCTCGGCCTGGCCGGAAGACAAGGTCTCGGGGGTTTGCTTTGTTTGCGGATCTGGGCCGGCGGGTCCCTGCTTAACTCTGGGTTTGAGCCATCGATCCAAGGAGCTGGCTTTCCGGCTGCATTAGCATCCACGGAACCCGGACTGCCGGGCCCGTCTCCTGCCGGAGCCCATCTCCTGTCCGCTAGATAGATAGTGGCTTCGGCAATGCAGATCAGCGTGCAGAAGATCGTGAATGATCAGATCCAATACAGATCTCATTTGGGATGATAGACGTTTACATACACGCAGTAGAGCAATTATTTTTCTACCTAGGTTATTCAAGTAATTCCGTCTTCTTGTTCTTTTAAGACCCAGTTACAGGCACAAGATACTTTGACTTAAAATTGGAGTAAATTAGACTTTGGAGCTTAAATTAGACAAACAGTTGTAACATTGATGCAATGCCCACCTAGACAGAGACCCAAGTATTGCTTCTTAGTTTGAGAAGAGGGCTGTAGTGTTTTTTCTTAATTAACTTCCTCAGTTTATTGAATCTGAGAGCCGGCATAGACACCATCCAACAAGGTGCCCTCTATTTCATAATGGAAGTGTCTGGGAATATGTCAAGGGAATAAATTAAAGACACGTTACTACTCATGGTCTCCTTAACACCCCTACCTCCCGTTTTAGGCCAGAAATTCTCCCACTGTTGGCCCTTCCTATGTATATATCACAAGAAATGAATAGTCATTTGCCTGGATTCTCTAGGCTTCAGATCCCTTCCCCTTTATTCAGATCCAGAAGCAGCCACCAGCCCTCCTCCAGCTTTTGTTTCTCCTTCCGTCTGACGGGATTTTTATATGAGCTCCCCAAGGCTTTAGGTCTCCTTCCTACCTGCGCCCAGGCTCGACAAGGGAGTTGGGAATTTGGAGTAAAGGGAGGATAGGATTTGGTGTAAATGTGTTACTCTCTCTGGTTAGGGGCCATAAGGAAGGAAGAGAGAGATTCCAGTGCTGGAGGAATAGCTGACTCCACTGGGCGACCCTGCTATTCCATGCCTGGAAAGAAGGTGGAAAAATTTGAAGGAGACTCCTAAGACTGGAGTCAGACGATTTAGAAAGGGTAATTGAGGGGAGAGCAAGAGGGAGGCTCAAGTGTCCTGGCAGGCGGAAGGCATCTCCTAGAGGAAGAAGAATTGGGTGGAGGTGCTGCTTCTTCAGGGGAACAATGCATCCCACCCCAGCGTTGAGAAAGCGCTGGCTCTGGAGAGGCCCTGAGGAGGTTGCTGGCTTCAAGAACTGGAGACTGCTTCACCAGCTCTAGACTGTTTCTCTTGTCCCTAGCCTGCTTGTTTCACAGCACACAAACTACCTTCTCAGAGTGAAGTTACCAGATTCGAACCACAGAGCTGCAGCTCTAGGTCCACCAATCACCACATGCCAGTCCCCAGGAAACTCTCACTGCCCCCTTTTCCTGGCTTTGCTTTTTTTCAGTTCCTGCCATGCAGATCTTCTTTCTGAAGCCACCACCCCCCCAGGCTGTCCACATTAATTTTTACAGCCCAGTGACTCTTCAGAACTTCCTCTCCTTCCCCAGTCTACCGCCCCCCAATTTTCTCTGTCAGTAATTGCTTGGGACTAGATATGGTAGCTCATCAACAGATCTTGGTTGGTCATATATTTTTGTTACCCATGCAACTGCTCTTTCTTTATTATTATACATGTGTTATTTTTGTCATTCACCTGAACTGGAGAAAATAAAATAAATAGCTAAGGGCCCAGGGCTCCTGTTCCTTCTAGGAAGAAGAGAGTATGGTTTTAGAAATGGTTTTCAAAACATCACATCGTCATACATCCATGTTTTAATTATTAATATTAACATGATGAAGCAGCTCTGTACAAGGACTATATAAAGGGAAAACGTGCTAAAGACAGATGCTTGAATAGGGGGGTACACTACACAGATCTGGGGACAGAGGTAGAGGATGCTGACTACCAAGGAACTACAGTAGGTACTAGAGACACAATCAACAGGACAGATACCGACAAAGAAGTTCACAGAAGTCAAGTTTAAAGCAAAGGAAAGAGAATATTGCATAACTTTGCCCCCTTCTTTTTGGAGTCTTCTAGTCTCTTTCCTACCAGGCTTTAGGAATCAAATCGGAGTTGTGGAGCTTGAATCCAACACTCTAGAGCCCACCAGTCACTGGAGAGCTGCACAAGGGGATACAGATGGGGGGGGGGATAGTACTTCATCCCCACAGCCAGCCCACAGAGATTGTGTGGACAGCTGGAGTGAGATGTTTTCTGGGAACTTGTACATAGATGAACATGTGTAGTGGATGGCAAGATGTGTCAGGTGCCCAATGGAGGATCAAGGCATGTGATTGTATCTCCTCTCTATTGAGCCAAATGGAGACCAAGAAGCTGCCTGCTTGCAAGTGTAGAGGGGAGAGGGTTTGGACCCAATGGTTTGTTGGGCTCATCTGTGTGTATATACATTTGCTTGTTTCTCTGAACAACCCTGTAAACAAACTTGAAGCCATGTGCTACTGGGGGAGCCCAACATTCTGTGGCTTGCCCTTGGAGAGTGGGAAGACTCCCCTCACCTCAGTGGGCAGTTTCACACTGCCCAAGCTGCACTCAGCTCTGTCAGTCTCCTGCTTCTCAGCCCTGTGTTTCCACTGGAGTAAGACAGCAGATGGGAAGAGTAAAAACAGGGTGCAGGAGGGCTGGTGGGTTATCTCGACTGTTCTTTCCAGAGCCGGCTGGCTAGCCTCGGAACTTTGGGTCTGGGGCTGGAGGCTGAAAGGATCTATGCATAAAAAGCCTTCCTTTTTGGTCTCCAACTGGACCTGGAGATGCGCCCCTCCTTCTTCAGCTCTGGCCCCAGTACTCGGTGGCTAGCTGGGCGGGAGGCGGAGGCAGCGGATCCTGAGACAAAGGGCGATGTTGGGGGGCGGGTAGGGGATAGAGAGAAAGGAGTTGGGTGGGGAATTGCAGCTCTCCCTCCTGCATTGTCACCAGCCTGGGAATCGGGTTGAGCGGGGCCTCTGCTGTCCGTAGCCCCTTTAAGGGCAGATTCTCCTCCCGCCTCGTAAATTACGCCGGTCCAGCCTTCGGCCGGCCGGCCGTGACCGTGAACGCCAGCGGGAAGAGAGAATCAGCGGGCCGCTGCTGTAGTTGCCGGAAACACTCCCTGCCAATCAATGCCGCTCTCCGCAACCCCTTCCACCACCTCTTTGGGCTTCCTGGAGGGCCAGGTGGGGGTCTCTGGGGGTGGCTACAGAACCCCCCTCCGTGTGAGTTTGGTTCTCAGTTCCCGCTTTGCCGCTTCCAATCCGCACGCAGCCGCAGCCGCATAAGTGAAGGAAAGAGTGGCTAGCACACCTGTGAGCTGTGTTTGCCTGGGACAAGCTGGGGGAACTTAGCAGCCAGCTGAGGTCCTTGAGACTTTTCTAGATCCCTCCGGGAGAGGACCTAAAGCTGATTAATTTACTTCCTTCAAGGTAGTCTGCCAAATGCAGACACTTCAGCCAACCCAGTGCTCAGGCCTGGAGGACTCAGACGTGCAGACCCCGGACCATTCTCTCATACCACATTTCCTCCTTGGTCGGTCCCCAGCTTCCTCTAACTCTGCCACAGTTCTCTACCCCCACCCCCAACTCTGTCCACTGATCCTCTCTGTTCTAGCTCCCACCTCTCAACTCCGTCAATTATGAGTTTGAGTTTGGGCACCTTGATTCCACTACCACCAACCTTGTCTGGTCCTCCAAGTATACAGACTTAAGACCAGAAAGGGAGGTGGAGGAAGGTTGTGTGTGTGTGTGTGTGTGTGTGTGTGTGTGTGTGTGTGTGTGTGTCTGTGAGAGAGAGAGAGAGAGAGAGAGAGAGAACTTTCCCACTACCTCAGCGGGAGGCCCGGCACTCCAGTCCGGCCTCAAATGCACCACCCCTCCACAGTGTCCCAGCTTGCCCTTGCCCCTCTGGGCTTCTGCCTTCTCAGGCTAGGTTTATTCCCTTCTCTCGGGACCCGCAGGGCCTGCTGGGGGTGGGTGTGTGTGGGAGGGAACCACGAACAAAACAGACAAGAGACGTCCAGGGAGAGCCTGCCAGAGGCCTGGCGTTGTAAGCGGGACTGTGTCCCAGGCTGCGCCCCTCTTGCTTCACCAAGGCAAGCTCAGTCTGGGGCTAGCACGCGTGTCCTGTCTCCTAGAAGAAGGAGAGAGCTTGCTCCCTCAGCAGAAGTCTTTTCTTTTTCATTCTCCGATTCTGGAACCAAATCTTGACCTGCTGGTCACTAAGATTCAAGCGGTCCGAGAGTTCCCTCCGACGCTGGCGTGTGATGAACTCGTTGACCAGAAACTCGCCCTCCAGCTCCGCCAACTGCAACTTCGAATACGGCTTACGCTTCTTTCGCGAGCGGCTGTGGATCGGGTACCAGGGCGCGCCTGGGTGGAGATGAACCGCAGGGTTGGCCAGAGGATCAGGGGTTGACTAGCTCAGTGCCCTGGGCCATTTCCCAGACCCTTTCACCCTGTTCCCACACCCGGACCAGACCATTCCTTTCTCTTCTCTTCTCTAGGCATCCTGAGCCTTTACCCAGACCATCTTCAGCAATCCATCACCTCATCAGTCCCTCCGCCACTTTCACTCTGTGCCTCAACTCTACCTCCCACAGTAGTATCCACAGCTTTTCTATCTCCTCACTTCTTCCAACATCTCTTGTCCATTTTCTTCTTCCATTATTATTGTTATTATTACTATTTAAATTTCCTGGCCTGGTCTCCTTACATCATCAGGGACTACCAGATCCCCATCAGTTAGAAAAGACGTGGGCGAGCGGTAAAGAATAAATTGTGTTAGGTGTGTTTCTTAAAATAAGAAATAGGAGTAGTGGAGGCCTATGGGAAAGCAGGAGGGAAGGCGCTCTGGAAAAATAGGAATGGACTCTCCTCCACTTCTTTACCCTTAGGCTGGGGAAGTCCCAGTCAGGATCCCCGTTCTCTGGAGCTCCCTGCCCCCTACAGCCACTGGGAGCGAAAAAGGAAATCTCTCCAGTTCTTTTATGGGGATATTTACATGTTTATAGGGTTCCCCCCCCCCGACTTCTTTTTAAAAGAAGCGCTAGCTCACCATGCATTCTGTCACCCCAGGCAGCCCCAGCTCAGGTCTCCCCTGCCAACACTGGCAATAGGTCCTGTCAGAATAAGCCGCACAAGTGGGCTGGGGTCCTTACCGCTGGCTGAGAGCCCGCCGCCTGGGTTCAACGGCGATACCAGAGGGCCAGGGTCGCCCGCGCTGGCGCCCTTGTTGCCCTCGTTGAGTAGGGACGAACTGGAGTCGGATTCCAGTGACTGGCACGAGGGTGGGTCGTGAGGGGGTCCCGTGCCGCCGTCACCACCACCGCCGCCCGCCGTGTAGTCGTACTTGAAGCCGAGAGCAGGCGGCCCCGACGGCTCCAGCTGCAGCAGCGCTGCTCCGGGCCCTGCTCCGGGTTCGCGCCCGCGCTCCTCCCGCTTTAGGCCCCCGCCGCCGCTCTCAGCGCACGGCTCGCGGTAGTACCCCTTGCTATCTTCCACGCGAGCCAGCTCGCACGTGCGGCCGAAAGGCGGGTTGAGCGACACCGGGCTGCCGAGATAGGGCTGCGGGTAGCCATTGCACGGCTCGGCGGACGGCCAGGGCAGCGAGCACACGTTGTCGCGACGTGGGTAGGACAGCGAAGGCAGCCCGGGGAGTTGCGCCCCTGACGCGCGGAAGTTGGGGAAGTAAAAGGTGTCTCCTGTGTGGATGTTCACCAGCGGTCCCACAAACCCAGGATTCAGGAGATTATGCTCGCCCATTTCCGCGGGGCCCGACCGGCAGCTTCTACTTTATTGCTATCTGACATTAAACATAGTTAAACCTGCACAAGCCACCCATTGGCCGCCTTACTCACGTGGGCGCTACCGCCAGGGGGAGGGGTGGGGACAACCGAACCCCCCACCCACATTCCCCGCACTAACTCCAACTTCCCCCTTCCCCAATCCTAGGGGTGGGGTGGGGGGGAGGAGAGACAGACAGGAGCAGATTTATTCGTTGGATTCTGGTTTTTTAAAAATCATATAAAACCTTAACGCAGACTGGGAAGCGATCGTCTGACGCGGGGCGAAACCAAAAAAAGCGACACCCAAAATATCCGCACATACACACCTCTGCACCCTGCAACGCACACCCCCCCCCAGATGTATTATCTTATCACCAACAGCTGGCCGAGTACAGCCCGTCCCTCTTTAATTAGCTCCTTTATTAACTAAAACCGTTGGAATTTACAATATCTCCCCCAATAAATTACTATTAGATATTGTGTCATATAAAGTTTACTGGCTGTTTAAGGAGACGGATGAGCCCTTTGGCTCGGGGTTTATTTACAGTAGAGGCGAAGTGGGGGTGAGAACAGGTTTCCCTACAGCTATCTCTCAGTCCTGCCGCGCTGCTGCGTTCTCTCCGTCGCCTTTTCCTTCTTAGGGTATGAAGAGCTGTTTAGGGGAAAATGATAATGCTATCTCTTCTCCAACCCCAACCCCAGCCTGGAGCCACCTTAGCCTCCCCTCACCGGAAGAGGAAGAAAGCGGAGGCAGAGAGAAGAACAAATGAAGGTGCTGAGCCAGTGTGGACCCGTTTGCCTGCTCTTGAAAATCTGGGGGGCGGCTTGAACTACTTTTCCGGTGTGACTTCTAGGGACTGAGGAGCTTCTAGGAGTCTCCCGGTCTTTGTGACAGAGGCTGTCAGCGCTCAGCAGAAACCCGCTGGCCTGAAAGATTGCATATTCCTACAGCCAAGGAGGTCACCCCACAACCTGCTGGCTGGCTGCTGGGGCCATTGTGGAGCAGCGCAGAGGCCAGGGGTGGCTTGCGTTCTGAGGTGGGACAAGAGTGGGGGGAAATCTTGGAGAAGCGTCCTGTTGGGGGTTCAGAATTCCATTTATGGTGCAAAGAAGGTCCAGAGAAGGCTGAGAAGCTAGCGCTCGCTGTTGACGACAACGAACATCTGCAAATCCACACTGAGATTTCAGCTGGGGCACCGAGCAGCTCAGCAAGAGAAAAAACAGTTCAAATCAGATGCATTTTATTAGTGTCATAGCAGAGAAACTCCCATTTTTGATTATTTTGAGCTTCAGTTGTTCAAGGTTGAATAAATAGTTTGGCAACGTATACACGTTAAAAAGATCATGGCGATTTTTTTTCCAGAGAATTAGAGAGAGAGAGAGAGAGAGAGAGAGAGAGAGAGAGAGAGAGAGAGAGAGAGAGAGAATATGAAGGAATGCAGGTAAAAGTGAAATATCTGGGAATTAGCCAAAGCTACAAAACGCAGACCGAATCGCAGAAGATTCTCATCGCCCTCTTTTCTCTCTCCCGCCCCTCTCTCCTGTGCAGGACGCGGCAGAAAGAAACGCAGATTCTTTGAATTCCACTGTTCCCGGAGCGATTTCATATCCCAAACCATAGCTGCTCACTCCGACAGAAATGTGTCCCCGCGGGCGCCGCCCTGCCCCGCGCAGCTAGCAGCCCGCAGCTTGGCGCCCGCCCCTCGCCCCGCTTGGCCGGTTTTCCTTCCCCCGCCCGAGCCTTCCTGGCAGCCTGCTTGGCCCCACCCGTCCCCAGGAGCCCGCCCAGCGCCTGGCCCACAAGCTGGAAGCACGGAGGTCCAGCCGGTGGGATGCCAGCCTCTGCAGTCAACCTTCACTCAGAATCAGAAGGAGATCCGGCCTGCAGTGGTCTTTTTGTGCGTAATTGATTAAGGGGCTGTAAGGCTGCAGAGAGGAGTATCTATACCTCAGCCACAGATCTCACGTCACGGCATCCCCAAATTTCATTTATTTCTCCGTTTTCAAGACTCCTTGCGTGCACATGAACATCTAGTTTAAAAAAATTATCTAAAGGTCATTTTGATCATAAAGATAAAGAGGATGTGATCTCAATATTACAGATTTCAATCAGAACACTACGCTTGGCAGCGAGGTCTCCGCCCAGGCTCTCCAGGCCTCGGCGCTCTGCCGCTATTGTTGGTGTGAGGGATGCTGGCTTTGCCGTTAGCCACTAGCCTTTGTTGGGTGGAGTCTTCTCTCCATTCTGGTTTCCCTTCGGACAATGCTAACCGCCTAATCTCCGTGAAAAGGGACCTCAAGAAGAAGGTCTTAGCTTCTCCACATCTTTCTACAGCTCAAAAATCTCAGGCCAGGAGCTTTTCTCGCTGCTCTACTGGGTCACCACTGCTGAGCACTCGAGCTGCGGCCACAGGGCGGCAGAGGCAACGCCAGGGGAAATGAGAACGGGAGGAGAGGGGTTCCTTCTTCAGAGACGCATTTCTCCCAGCATGATTTGACCCTGACAGAACCATTTTCTCCGGGTTTCGGACTTGGCACAGGCTTCCTTCCGAGGAACACATGCTAATTTCTGTCAAGGAAAGCTGACTGCGGTCCTCAGCAAAATCCCTGTTACCAGAGTCCTGCTCTTCAAGACTTTGTAAATTTAAGGGTTTTCAGGCGACCCTGAGGACCCTGGAGACCTAAGCGTCCAGTTTCCCTGAGCATCACGATAGCTCTGTATGCCTCTAGGTAACCTGGCAGCACGCGCAGCTTAGCGGACCAGTTTCTGAACCGGGCTCGGACAAAAACACCACTCCCAATCTGGATCCCCAGGCCCGGCGGGAGGCTAGGGTGCGCTTCAACTCTAAATCCAGCTCATCAAAAGCTGTTCCCCAAGAGCCGGCTGAGGCTAAGTGAGGGACCAGGAAGGTTATGGCAGTCCAAGGCTTTCGGTAGCTGTGTTTAGTCTGGTTTAATCCGCTGCCACTCCGCCGCCCACACGCAAAATCATCACCATCGGTCAACAGAGGAACAATTGATGCTTCGGAACTCTCCCTTACATTCATCAAATCTCGGGGCTCGAAGGGGTGGCATGTCTGGCTTCCGTCACAGCTGGCCAGACTCAGGCATGCCCTGTTCATTAACTCAGGGGTTAATTAAAGCTGAAGGCAAGGATATAGTCCAAGGCTTCCCCTGAAGACCCAAGAAAGGCAGCTAGCCTCCTTCAGGATCATTTACCAGCAGGATGTCCCTCTACCTCCCCATACCTCTCTATGCCTCCATCCCTCCCGCATCTTCGGCCTCTACAGCTGTGGGGTAGACAGAAGTTAATTATAAAATCTCCACAGGCTCTAGTGGTCCAGGCAAAGCGGCTGTGATGAGGCTGCATTTGGGCTCTTCTGCTAATCCTAAACTGAGAATTGGGTTCTCTTTTGCGTTCTCTTCGGTGAGCTGAGGGAGCTGAGGCCGTGGAGACCCGGTTCAAGGTCACTGCCTAGTTTGCAGAAAGGGGGTCGCTGCATATGCAAATGAGGCAGGGACCGGCTCCTGTAGGGACGTAAGCAGGAGCTCTACGAAGGAAAAGAAAAATGATGGGGGGGGGCTCTCTTCACTCGCTGCCCCCTATCTGATCCCTTTGGGACTATTCAGGCTTGGGATGGACCTTTTTCACATTCAGATAAGGCTACGGGATAGGGTAGAGGGAGGGCTCTCCCTCTCTCCTAATTGGACTCTTCACTGGTTCCTCTAGGGGATGGAGTCCATCTGGCCTCCACCATTCCTGCAAGTGCCCTAAACCAAAGCATCAAATTGGGAGATCGCCTGCTCCGTGGCTGCTTTCTAGGGATCTACAGCCTGGAAGTGGAGGCTTGGACTAACCCTGGAAGCTCAAGCAGTCTTTCAGGCTCAGGCTCCTCTGGGTCCCCTTCCATCAAAATACCCCAGCTCAGTTTTCACTTTCCACTCAGAAAACTGGGAGGTGGTGAGACCCCTAGGAGTGAACATTTGGAAGACTCCCCATCATGTGCACCTCTATGAGAGACATCTCCTCTTATATTCTCAGAGGTTTTCCTGTAGTGCTAACAATTAACTAGACTGTCAGCTCTGACATTTTCCCCCTCCGCCAGCAGAGGATCTCCTCGCCTAGTGAATTACTGAGTGTCAGGAAAGGTGTGGGGACCGAGTTAAAAAAAAAAAAAAAAAAAAAACCAAACCAAAAACCAAAACACGCCTATAAATGCCACACCCACCGCTACTGTAACCAGGGGAGAGCCCCAGGCCTGGTTTCATGCACCTCGAAGCTGGGCTGGGGGAAGGGGCAGAACTGCTCTCAGTAACCCTCCTTCCTCAGCCTAGCCCTTTGTCCGTGATAGTGCCCACTGGCCAGGCCCAGGCCTGGAGAGGACAGAGATATGCTTAGGTTCTGCCAAACACAGCTACTCGGCTGTTTCCAAAAACCCATCGTCCCAGTGCGGAGAGAGGGGTATGTTTCAGGTGGGAGTAGCCCAGAAGGTTGTTGGGGGTGAGAGAATGTTCTGTTACCACACCCCCCACATGGTTGGGCTGGAAGCGCAGGGGTCCACTTACCTTTGGAGACTGAGGAGGCTCAGAAGGGCGAGGGGTAGGGGTTACCATCCTCTAGAAACCTTCTGAAACACCTCCCCCCACACACACTGCTGCCCACGGGCTCGGCCAAGGTATCTGAGAGGCGGGGCGCCAGAGGCGGAGGGAGCAGTCAGCGGCAGGCGTTCAGGAGCGGAGTTACCAGAGCCTCTCTGGAGAGGCCGCCTTTTATGGGCGTTATTAGCGCCCCTGTCTAGACTGGAGACGACACCTCCTCCGTGTGTAAACAGAGGCGGAGGGCTCGGCGGGAAGAAGGGTGGCGCGTCTAGGGGGCAAGCGGCCCTCCCTTTTTCTGGCCACCGGAAGATCAAGGCCTTTTCCACCCTCCCCCCTATCCCGGTGATTCTGTGATGTCAAGGTCAGAAGGACCTAGTCACGGTCAAGGCTAAAAGAGGAAGAGTCTGGTTGGTTGTGAAAAAGCCCTGGCCCCCTCCTCCTCCCCCTCCTCCCAGAAGCCCCTCGTTCCCCAGGGCCCCTCAACTCCCCACCACCGTACATCTGCTCTTGGAGATCTCTTGAAGGTGAGCTCTGGTACCATGCCAGGACTCAGGAGGATTCTGGGTGGGAAAATTTTCATTTGAAAATGATGGGTGCTCAGAGGGGGCTGCTGCAGGGACCCCAGCTCCAATAAGAGGACCTTTTACAGAGATGAAAGTGCTATGCATCTACATGGGTCCCGATTGCTGACTTAGACGCCTGTGGATCAAACTCCGGAGAAGATGGTCTTCAGAGCAGTCATGGAGGGATCTGCCGAGAGAGTTGCTGGCCTTGTTTTCTCAGGTGGGTTCCTCACTCTGAGACTTTTGCCGGGAAGTCCCATCTTCTAGCACTAGATGGGATTATTGTGGGCAGAGAAGAGCTTTCTCCCCTCACTCATCCCAAGTTCAACCTGGCATCATAGCAAAGTGACCCTGAAAGGAGAGTACCCGCAGCCTTTGGCCTTGGGACTTGGAGAAGCTGGGGGTACCGTGGAATTATGAAAACTGGAGCCTCTGTTGCCAAGGAGGAAACTTCTGTGTTCTTAGCCCTTTGCTACCTCGCTGAGGTGCCCTTACATTCGCTTACAAAAACCTTACTCCAACCAAATCTTAGGAGACTGTTCTTGAAGAGAAAGATTTTCTTTGATGGGTGTAAATAAAGACAAAAGGACTCTACAGCTTGAGTTGAGTGTGCTAACAACACTCACATACATGCAAGCAGGAGGACCATCTCCACTGCTCAAAGGCACTGGTGTACACATGGTTCTCCAATGATGGTATTATCTATTGAAAGAAGGAAAGAGCCAGTTCAACCAGGGAAAGAATACATTTCCCATCGTTACCTCCCTAGAACACAAGATCACACAGCTTTATACAACATTTATTTACTCTGATTAGAGGTGCATCTCCAGAATTAATCCAGGTATGATAATCCTCAAAAACCAAGCTGATATATTTGGTTGAGAGTTTGAAAATACAAAGAACCCTGGACACACTGGGGCACACTGGGCACAGAGTATGCCCGCAAACTTGGCTTGCCTTTCCAGTGTCCAGTGTGTCCTCAGGAGCCCATAAAAGGCTTCTTCTCTTTTTAACTGCTTCTGGGACCTTAGAGTGGTTTTTTCCTCATAGGAAGGTTTTTATCTTCCTGTGTGAAAAGGTCATCTGGTTATGTTGCCTAGGTGGACCCTGAACTCCTAGGCTCAATCAACCCTCCTACCTCAACACCAAGGCAGAGTTGGACTTCAGGTGTGCTACCTTACCAGCTAAGATTTGACCCTTTGATTAAGTGTAGGTTTTGTGCAGAAGTGGAGGTCTATCTTGGAGAACTCTAAACTTATCTTTATGCACGAAGTCCTCAGCTTTCATTATGTCTACAAAGTGTTATAGGAATATCAGGATAACCAAGAGATCTGAGGACTCATACCAGAAGAGTCCCAAGTTTCTTCTCCATTTGTTTCCTTTCTCTGTCTAAACAACTCTTTTTGTCTTAGGAGAGGTCTAGGGGCTTTTGAAGAAAGAGTCAGGTTGTTGGTGGGGAGAGAAAGGGAAATAAAATTAACAGTGACTCTTGTTCCTGGGACATTCACCTATTCCCTTTCAAATCTCCACTGCCGAGTGTGTGGTTCTCTATGGTCAGCCCAGAGTTGAGTATAGAATAGGACTAGCAGTCACTTCAGTAGCATAGACTCCAGGAGGGTGAATTCTTCAGGTCCTTTGTCTCTCAGACTTCGTGTGTGTATGTGTGTGTGTGTGTGTGTGTGTGTGTGTGTGTGTGTGTGTGCTGTTACCTCCCAAAAAACATTTATTTACATTGAAATTTAAAAGCTTCAGCTCCATCAGGCAAAGGGAGCCGGGAGGACTCTGATTTCCAACCTGATGCCTCCAGTCTTTCTGTGTCTCAGAAGAGGAAAAAAATTATATATAAATAAAAATTGCTGCAGTAAAGATTTAATCTGAGATAACATTGTTTTAGGCTATATTGCTTTTTAAAAGTCTCTTAACCTGACAACTTAACGATCTCATTAACTCCACCAGATAGGGAGATAGGCACAGACGCGACAAGGAAAACAAATTAGTGGCAGCATCCACACAGGCCCCAGACCTCCTGGAAGACAGGGGCTCTTAGGATTTCTAGAGAATAAAAATGGAGCTGGCCTGGCAAACTGGAGCTCAAGGGTCCTGGGCATTCAGCCTTCTCTGTTTAGGTCGATGGGACAAAGAAAAGAGCACATCCTGGGAAAGCCGAGCTCCAAGCTGCTCTGTCAAACTGTGCCAAGACCACCCCAACCGCAATCCCAGGCCTGAGCTGGCTGTGAACCCCTGGGGTAGGAGGACAAGGACGATGGGAGCCTAAGCTGAGCTTCCTGCCTCCTCTACTCTTGCTACCAGTGCACCAGTCATTTCTCTACCTTCCTAACACTCTAGAAACAGACTCCCTCCCCCATTATTAGCGAGCAAATCCAGGGCCTTGAACATGCTAGTTAGCTCTACCACCAAGCTAACTACAAATTATTCACTAATGAACTTTTCTCACTTACCTGCTTTCAGACCTTTTCAGTGGCAGACCCCCATCTTTCCTTTTCCCAATACAAATTCATCTAAGTTGGGTATTAAGATGTGACGTTCTCTTATCTAAATAGAATAGAAAATCCAAATGGCTATGAAATTTTCCTGGAGAGAACTATAGGTTGAGGATCTACTGTTGTAGGTGATGTCTGTATTCTTCCCCAGCCCTGTCTGACTGGGTCAGGCCATTATAGTCCGCCCTGAAGAGCCAGGAGAGAAAGACTTCAGAAGGAACCCGAGCAATAAAATCAAGGCCAAAAACAAAAGGATATTTTATTTTAAAAACAAGTTTGTGGGTTTTTTCTTCTTTGCATTCAATACATTGTCATTCAGACATCACAATACTATATACAGATACACAACATTAAAAAAAGAGCCTATTTCGAATGGGCATTTCAAAAGAACACTGTTTTGTAATGAGCTAGTGGGAAGGGAGGAGGTGAAGGGGCCCCCACAGCACCAAGTTGGCTTTTAAGGAGGGAGAAATTAGGCAGCATCTACATTTAGCTGGTTTATCCAGAGCCAGTGATTTCAGCCTCCTTGATCAGCTCCTCAAGCTACCCTTAGGAAATCAGTAAAAATGAAAGTGTGTGGTCTCTCCGATATCTGCTATTGCTTATGTGGAGACAACACAGAAGATCTTCTGAGGGACCCACCCTCCATCTCCTTTAAAGTTTATAAAAGTTCTGATTCTAAGCCTGGTCTAATTCCCAACCTTACCATGAGAGAGAAAGAGAGACAGCAGCCGCACTTAGTATTGTGGCTGGAGGTTTTTGTCCCCCTTGGATTTCCACAGGACTGAGAGTGCAAAGCAGAGGAGGCAGTGGGGGTCAAAGGCACCTCCTGGGAAATCATTTCTGGGTCAGGATGTGATGTGGCTGGGGGCTGCACCAAGTCCAGCTTTTGTTGAGACCGACAGAAACAAAAAAGAAAATCTACAAGCTTCAAGCACTGTCTCAATTCCAATCACGCTGCCAGACCCTAAGGATTATCATCAATATTAACACGACTTTTAAAAGATGCACAGAAACATCGTAACTGGGAAACCTTGCCTATAGAGTGCAGGAGCGATAGTAAAATGGGGGAAGAGGAAAGAATGCAAGAGCTCCCCAGATCCTGTGCCCATGCGCCCCGGAAGGAGGGTCTCCCACAAGCCAAGGCACAGGAAGAGGCAAGAACTGAGTCTTTTGGAATCCCGCAGCACTGCTTTGGTAGGAATGACTGGGCTTTCCTGGCCACTCAGAATTCTAGTGGGACAAACCATGAAGACCAGGGGTGTAGAGGCAGACAGTCTTCCTTCCGCTCATCCAAACCCACCTCCCCAGCTGTGGATGCTGAGGGGGTGCTGTCTGGAGGGGGTTGAAAGTGGGGATGGGGTGGGGAGTAGGGTAAGGCAGAGCGCGGGCGTGCTGTTCCTCTTTCTCGGTAAGATTAAATAGTGGTCTGCACCGGTGCAGCGTCCTTCGGGTGGATTCCGTACAAAGCGACGACATAAGACATAAATAGACGGGGCGGGCGGGTGGACGGTCAGGTGGAGTGGAGATGAGGCGCTTTCGATTTGCTGACCACCTTCTTCTCTTTCACCCGCCGGTTCTGGAACCAGATGGTGACCTGGCGCTCCGAGAGGTTCGTGGTGGCTGAGATGCGCCGGCGCTTCTCTTTGGTGATGAACTTGCTGGCTGCATACTCCTTTTCTAACTCCTTCAGCTGCACCTTGGTGTAGGGCACCCGTTTCTTGCGCCCGCGCCGGTAGCTGCTCACTTCTGGCTGTAGGGGAACCACGTCTAGGGGAGGGAGAGAGAAGGTGGGCAGGAACAAGTGAGGTGGGCGGCCAGGAGGGTCTCAACTGGGCCGCCAGATTTTACTTCTGGGTGAGGCCCCCTAATCCTAAGTACCTCCGTTGTTAGTAAGGCCACGAAGAAGGTGATGCCACTGGGTACCAGCCTCCTTTTTTGTACAAACTTTAAGGGAAGGGGCTCAAAAACCTCAATAATCAAGATCATATTTTAAGGCACTTAAAAAAAAAGAAAATCAAAACAAATGCAAAAAATGCCATTATAAAATGTCATTAAAAATAAACAGAGGATCTGTATTATTGATTTTTTTCCTATTGCCTCAGACTCCACTAGGGCTCTGCACAACACCCTTTGTTGGAAACCCTGGACCCTTAGATCGGTAGCTCCAAGTCCTACTCCTGGTCATGCTTGCTGGAGTGCTGGTGTTCAGAAAATTCCTTCATCCAGTTAGCACAACAGGGTCCCTCCACCCTATATTCTCCTCTTTGTCAGGGGAAGGACTTAGATTGTTGTATGTTTGAGGAGAGCATGGCAGGAAGGTGTCAGCTCCAGGGACACAGACTATCCAGTGGGTCCTTGGGCCTGAGTCTAGCCTTGCACTATGGATCTAATTCACCAGCATAGAAAAGAAACTATCAGATGAAGCCAGACTGCTTGGGGATCAGTCACTTAGAAACAGGAGCCCAGTGTTGTGAACCATCTACCACCACCTAAGGAGGGTGGTTCTGCCTCAGTATAGGGAATCAGATTTCCCATAAGAGGAGGTCAATACCCAGGTTTTACCAAAAAGAACCAATTCTGTTTCAACCTTCCTCTTTCTGTTCTTCCAAGGCTGAAAGAAACCTTATACATCCCTGGTACCCGAGGAGGCTCTACCCTTGCAGATGCAGACACTATTTGTTTATTTTTTTTCAGGAGCATTCCACAGGAGTTCAAAATAGCATGCCACTCTCCACCCGCACTCTTAGCAGTGAAGGGCCATCGTGGTAGGATGGAGGAGATCCCGTGAACAGCTCAGCCCCCATTGTCTTTCTTGTCACTGTTGGACTTCAGGTGGACACTAATGGCTGAGTATCCTCTTCTTTGCTATGGCCCTTCTGAATTGTTAGACATGGCTCCAGCCTGAAGGCAGAGAGTGTCTGCTGAAGTGTTCCCACCCTACAAGCATCTTCCCTACACTGCCATTCCCAGTGAGACTGGCTCTCTCTCAGAGACCCAGGGCCCACTCTACAGGGAGGGAAAGTGGGGGGTTACAATTGAATGCAGAGAGAAATAAAGAGCCCAGGAAGAAAATAGGAAAGGGTTTCCAGTGGTCTGCTCAGGCTGTCTTCATGGTGACAATTTCTCACAAAATCTATTCAACTTATCAAATGTTTCTCTGCCACTGTGTAAGCCAAGATTTTTTTAATCTGAAAAAAAAAGCACCTTCAGTTTAGCAGATATGATCTGTCAAGTTAAAAGGGATATATATGTGTGCGTATATATGACAAAATTGTAAAGGACTCATCTTCAATTTGTTTTGCTCTTATAGATGGAACCATGGTTTGAGAAACTGATGATTCTGGGGCAAGAATTAAAATGAAGAGGATGAGTAGTGATATCATGAGGGTTCCCCCCCCCCAGAACATTTCTTCAGTTGTATTTTATTAAACATGTTTTACAAGATCAGAAATCAGAGGCTCAAGTAGGGAAAATGACTTAGATGACTGAACTGGGGTCTAGGTTCTTCTGACTCTCACATAAAGCCACAGTAAGAGTCAAAACAGAAGTGAGGGCCTGGTATATCTCTGTTGTTGAAGGGCAAAGTGAAATAAAGGTGAGTTTCGGTTCCTGAAAGAGCCAGTTAATCGTTCCTCGTTTTTTAAACCTCACTTTCTGTAGCTCTCTAAACATCAAGTCTAAATTTCTAATGAAGTTTAATTGACACAACCCTTAAAAAATTTGATTAAAAGGTAGATAACAGCTCTAAACTTTATTATTATTATTATTATTATTATTATTATTATTAATCTCTATTGGATGTCAAGGATTGACTTCACCAACTTTCTCATGGGTCAAACAGCAGGTTGTTTTTGCTTCCTGGGGAAATAGCTCCTGCCTTTCCTTCTGGAAGGAGCACCTTCCATTGTCTGCTGTTTTGGCTAGAAAAGAAGTGGGCTCTACAGATGTGAGAGCATCTGGTAGCTTAGACTCTGAGCTGTGTCTACATTGTGTAGAATAGGGACTCAGCTCTTAGTCCCCAATGTCTCCTGCCCTAGTGTCCCTCCAGGTCACCTGCACCAACCAATTTGTACCTCAGAATCTAATCAGCATCTATGAGGAGCAAATAAGAATGAAAACAGTATGTGCCACTGCTTTGGTTTGGGCCTGAGAGGCTCCTGTTTAGGGAGCCCCTAAAGCCTGCCCACCTCATCAGTAGGCTCTAGGATTTGAGGACTATCTTGTTCATCTAGTGGTTCTTTTCAACCCAAATTCAAAGACTTTGTTGATACAGTCTTTTAGTATGGGCTCCCAAAACCCACTGTTTTCTTATTTTGTTTTCTTTTTCTTCTATATATCTATCATCTATTTCTTTCTTTCTTTCTTTTTCTTTCTTTCTTTCTCTCTTTCTCTCTTTCTTTCTTTCTTTCTTTCTTTCTTTGTATCTATCTATCTATCTATCTATCTATCTATCTATCTATCTCAGAACTGTCTCCCTTTTTTTCCCCTCCTAATTCTCTTCTGGGATTTCTGCCATTCTTGTGAAAAAAGAAAAGTGTATCCACTCACCACAGTGTGTGTGTGTGTGTGTGTGTGTGTGTGTGTGTGTGTGTGCGCACCCATATAATTGGGAGAAAGAAGCCACAACTCCTCACAGCTCTAATTATCTAGATCTTTCTGAACAATTGCCTCCATCTCCCACACCAGCTCAGACTACCATAGGTTAGGTTTCTCAGAGCCAGAGGCAGTGAAGAGAGACAGTGGTGTTTATGGCTAGATGTTGCCGAATGAACCACAATTGCATAGACAGAGTTATCTGAAAATCTCACTACTTCTAAAAGACCTGTGTGGGTAGAAAGATGGAGGGTGTCTGAAGATAATTTCTTTTTCATCTGCCTCTCTCCTGGACCTCTCCAGGCACTGAGATACACCAGCCGGAATCTATTTCTACATGGAAGTATGAGCTCAGAGCAGCAGAGGCACATTGGGTTTTATATCCACTTCTCTGTTCTAATTTGCAAGTGTATTAAATCTCAATTGGGCTGTGTGTTTTTATTTCAAAGATACCTTTCTTTAGGAGGCTGTGATAGAAAAGTGTTTATTTTTAGCAGAGCCTTTTGTGTGTGTGTCGTTCTTGTTTCTGGGAATGTTTAAGATGTTTATTTGCTCAAAGATAATTCTGAGCTTCCCTCCAACACTTTACCAACCACATAACCCACATGCCGATACAGGGAAGCCAGCTCCTTCTGTAACACCTCTTCATTGCGAAGACGTTGCTTTTTGCTCTAGGCCTGGGTTCCTAACTACAATGAGCAGGGCGGGGGCACCAGCTTCTCAGCCCACCGGCCCTCTTGGCATTACCCATCAATTCCACTACCACAAGGATTCCTACTGGACTCTCATCCTAGAAGCTTTCTGTTTCACAAACTAGAGAAGTGAAGGGCAGCCTACCTTCTACAAATATATTATAGAATGTCTACATATGAACAGCTTATCTTATATAAATGTATCAGCTTGTGTTTCACATTAATTAATAAAATTGTATTGTATAAAAATCTTATAACTAATGCAGAGAAGGTAGTGTATGAGACCATTGTACCACAACCATGCCATCAATTCTGACAGTCAGAAATGGAATGCCTTGTGTTGTTGGTCTAGCTCTGGTATTGACTTGTGTTATATTAAGTGACCTCATACTATGTATTAGAATGTTTTTGCTACATTCTGTAACATCATTTAGTGATTCTTCTCCATCTACCTCTCTACCCAATCCCGGATGCAGAGGAATTTAAGACCTTAAGAGGTCTTTGGGTTAATCCTTTCCAATGAGAAATCCCCAAGCCTAACATGAGAGGCTAGAGGCTCCTTCTGGGTACAGTGGAGAGAGATCTTTGGCTTCCCTGGACTCCCAAGGATCTCTGGAGCATCAGAAGAGAGGACTCTCTCCTGAGCTCTCTAGGGAGGGCAGATCCACATGCTGGCTTCTGTAGACCCCCTCCTCCCGCCCCTAACCTTTATTTCTCAGATCGGAGTGGAACCCAAAGCTCCCATCCCTGGGATGGTCTTTCTCCTTTAGGGCGTGAGGGGGAAATTGTGGAGTCCTTGCCTTTTCAGATACAGCCTAAGTCAGAGGAACAGTACATGAGAGATCTCTTCTTGCATACACAGCCAGACAAGAGCCAGACGTTCCTAGCCGGCGGCCTGGACCCCAACACAGCTCTGCCTCACCTACCTCCCATCTGAGATCCCCTTTCTCTGTCTGGAATGTTGGTAACTAACTCTCATTTGGAGGACTTGACAGTGGATTCACAGGTTTAAACTCTGTGTACCAGAGCAGAAAAGAAAATTTTGCTTCTCAGGAGAGGATGCAACTCTTACACTCACTCCTACAGAGATTTTAGCTCTTTTGCTCTTAAAGAACATCCCTGGTCAAGTCTAAAAAGAAAAGAAAAACACTGTACATTTCTATAGGCTCCGGCTAATTAGATCCCTATTTTAACGCTATAGTATCTGGCGCCTGACAGATCCTGAAAACTCAGCAAGGTAAACGTTCTTATCCTCCTCAAATCCCCAATTAGACACTGGGTTGAGGGTTTTGTTCTAGGTTCCAAGGCCAGAGAGGCCCAACCCCAACCCATTCCTGGCCAGAAGCGGGTTTAGGGGCCAGGATCCCTGCGTGAAGCTGGAGCGGGCAGGGGAGAGGAGGCGGCAAGCTCCCTACGGGAGCCCAGCCGGCGCTCGGGCGCCTCTGATTGCTTCACTCCCGACCCGGCAGCTCCGGGGAACGTGTCGGAGCAGATTTCTTCCCCAGCGCATTCCTCAGCACAGCTCGCCCGGCCGGCTCCTTCGACAGCCCAGCCGAGCCGGCGCGCCGGGGCCAGACGGCGGGGGTGGCTGGGGCGCGGAGCCGCGGGGCAGGCAGGGCGGGGAGGGGTCCTTGGCGGCGGCGGCGGCGCCGCTCATGGCCCTTCCTTACCTGGGAAGGGAGACTTCCAGAGGTGGGCGGACTGCGACTGCTCCTTGGAGCAGTACACCTGACTGTCCCAGCCATTGGAAAGAGCCCAGTGCTGGTAACCTTCGACAGGGATGAGCGCGTCGTGACGCGGCTCCGGGTGCCCGCTGATCCCGGGCACCACCGACACGTCCAGGTAGCCGGGCATTGCCTGGTAGGAGCTGGCGAAGCTGGGGTAGAAGGCGAACTCCTTGGCCCTGGAGGACAGGTCGTCACCAGGCAGGGCGCCCGACGGCTCCGGGTATTTGTCACCCGGGTGGTAGGCGCAAGGCTTCTGCTGCAGGTTCACGTTGTGCGACAGGCGGCAACCGTAGTAGCTGCCCCCGAATGGGTAACCATAACCCAGGGTGGCGCTGGACGAGGTGGGGGGCGCCGGCGGTGGGGCGCATTGGCGCGCCGCCTCCGGGGCTGGGATGTCCGTGTAGACGGCGCCTTGAGGGGCGCCCAGAGGAGCCGGCGGGCGGCCCAACACGGGGTGAGGGAGCAGGTCGCGGCAGTGGCTGGCCGGACAGCTGCCGCCCAGCCCGTCCATGCTCGGGGCTTTGCCGGGGCTCGCTCCGCTGCAGCCGCCCCCCGCGCCGCCCGCGCCGCCGCCTCCCCCGCCGCCGCCGCTGCCGCTCTCCGCCGCGCTGTCCTCATAGACGTACATAAGGCTCTCCGGCCAGCGCGGGTGCAGGAGCAGCGAAGTCGTCATGACATGATCTGCTCCAGCTTTTTAAAAACTCCACTTGCCAGAGGCAGCGAGCTAGGGAGACACCTCGCTCCCTTTTTCCCTCCCCCATCCCTCCTCCCTTCTTTCTCCACCCCTCCCCTCCTCCTCCCGGTGCTTCCCCCTCCCTCACAGCATTCCCACTACGCATGCGGATACACTTCATTAAGAAATCGGCCTGCTCCCGCCCTCCTCCCCTCAGCACGCCCCCTGGTTCCCACGTGACTGAAGCCGCCGCACGTGACCCTAGGCCTGGGTCTACTGGGGTTCCCTCCCCGGGAGGTGGGGCGGGGCGGAAAGAAATGAGGACTTTGTTGATTGGCTCTCTGGAGAGGAAAAGGAGGAGAGAGTTGGGAGATTTAAAGGGACGGGGCAACGCCCCCTAAGCAAGCCTTGTTAGTGGAGGGGGGCAGAGAGGCTGAATTTGGCCGACGCAAAGGGACCAAGGGAGAAAAGGATGGATGGTTCCTGGGCTCCTCCCCCTAGGCTTAGGTTGTGCTCCCGAGAGACTGACTGGGGTTCTCAAGCCAATGGCTTTGACTACCGAAGTCTCTAAATTGGGGCTTGGAGCTGAGAATGGGGGCAAATCTGGAGTTTTAATAATAATAATAATAATAATCTAGAAAACAGGAAGGTTCCAGCTGTGGCAGGGTGCACTCCAGCTCGCGGTGGGCAAGAACCTCTCCACACCGTTAGGGCAGCTTTTGACGCTGACAGCAGAGTTTCAATCTCCGACCTTAGCCGCTTTCCCCAAAGCTCCCCCATCCCCGCGTTTGTCTGGAAAAAAGGCTGTCCCTGGTATCGGACATGGTTGGGAGATGTGGTTTCTGCAAATGCAGACTCCATCCCGGAATCCGGGGAGTGAAGTGATGGAGTACCCTCGGCGAGCAGCAGAGGAAGACTAAAGTGAGGGAGATGGAGCGGGCAGTAGGGCAGATTGCTATTTCATCACACAAAAGAGTGAGAGTCCCCAATCCCTAAAGAAACAGTGGCGTCTGGCTGAGCAGTGGGAAAGCCCTGGATAAGGCCAAGAGCAGAGTCTCTTCGGGTGAACAAAAGGAAATGTGGAAAGTGGGGAAGAACCTGCTGCCCTTTAGACCTCTGACAGGTGCAGCTCTTGGGCACCTCAAACATACAAGCACAAGGCCCCTCCACCCTCAGCGGCTTGGGCGGGTGGGTGATGAGCGCTAAGGAGCCAGGTAGAACTCAAGTCCTAGCAGCCTTATTCTCATCCCCACAAATTTCTTTCAGTATCACTCGTTTCAGTGCAGAGTACTTAGATCTGAAACTGTCTTTTATTTCAAGAAGAAATTACCACCCCGTTACTGATTTTTATACCAGTCTCCCCCCTTGATTTCTACCCCCCACTGGTTAGGGCCTCAGCAGAGTCACCCCTTTGCAGAGGGGCATCCCCATGGAATTGCGCCAAGCTCCCTTTCACACATCCCCCTCCCCGAGGGGAAGAGGTAATAAAGAGCGAGAGAGCAGGAAAAAAAAATAATAAAGGAGAGAGGGGCTGCTGCGTCTTCCCTCTTTCTTGCCTCTGCCACAAGTTTTAAATCCTTGGTGCTGGGGCACGGGCTGCCAACAGAGGATCCCTCAATTGGAGGTAAATGTCGGGGTCTGCTCCAAGATCCCCGGAGGAAGAAGGAGGTCTCTAACGGTTGAGAGCTTTGGTGAGTCAGGACAAGAAATGGAATTTTTAATCAGTGTGATTTTCATCCAGAAGTGTCTCCTCAGAGTTTTGATAGCAGGCTGCATGCTGGGCTGGCAGCAAGAAGGAAAATACAAAAGAAAGAGGCTTGAAACCAGGCAGGCCCAGCTTATCAGTGTTGAGGGAAAAGAAGGTTCATCGATGAAAGCTGGGAAACTGGCGACCCTGCTGCTGAAGTCCAAGGTCAAGGTAAAAAACGACAGCAAACAAGGCCCGGCCAAGTCTAGACTGGGTCTGGTGAACTTGGCCCCCTTACCTAAGGCTGGCTGAGAGGGGTGGGTGGCTAGGAGGGCTGTGGGTTGTTTTTGTTTTTGTTTTTCTTTTTTCTTTAAGCAGTAGGTAATAGAGGTTGTTCCTCCTCTGGTGAAGTGCTGCTCCCCCATTGAGAACCGGGGAAGTGGGCCAAGCTGTGGGGCCCGCTAGGAGAAACAAAGGGCCCGCAGAGCCCTTCCCATTCCTGGGGCTCCCTTCCTGGTGAGGCCTAATACCAGGCCGTGCAGATGCCAGCCTTTGGGAGGAGAGGTCAGAACCGAGAAAAGGAAGGATCTAGGTGCAGGGAGGCCCCACAATAAATAAAATTAATGGTATGTTCTTTTCCAGGTTTATATAAGGGCATTAACTATCCCTATTGCAATGAGATATAGATTTAATTAACCCGGCAACTTTACAATTCCATTTATTAGGGGCACTATTCTGCCAAAATTTAGCGGAAGAAGACAGAGGGAAATAAAGTCGCGTTCGTGGAGAATACCCGCTGAAGAAGTAGGCCCCCAAAGCCACGCGAGGGAGTGGGAGGCCCGAGGGGGAAGTTAAGGACGCTGAGAGCGACTGGAGCTCTTCACACACCCGTTAGCTTGTTCCCCAAGACCTGCGGTGCCTGTTCTCCGAGCCCACAGGGATCACCGAAGGAGGCGCGCATACAAGAGCCAGGGTGCCGGTGGTGGAAAATAAAGCCTTGACGGTTAATTAACTTTAAGCATGGGATCGCTTTTCCTCAGTCCCCTGGAAAAAAAAGTGTATCTCGCTGAGACACAAGTAAAGTCAAATTAAACTCTTCAGGAGAATATGTACCACTGGAAACGTAGTAATTACATCTCATTTCGGAGGCAATCGGTGACCTAGAAAGCCGGGCACTTCAACCTCTCGGTTGAAAAGCTCACTCCCCACCATTTCGCTCTGCTTCAGGGATAGTGTGGTGGGGAATGGCCCAGGATGAAGTTTAGAGAAAAAAAAATAAGGGAAAATGAGACAGGATGGGGCATCTGGGTCCCCGTGAAGCTGCTGATGTGGGAGAAAAGATGGAATCATTTAAGTGTATTGAAAGAAAATGGAAAAGGGGTCTCTGCCTCACTGGGATGCTCTCTGCCTCACTCTCAGCTCATCTCAGCTGACTCTGGGATGCTCTTTCACAGCGTGTGAACCATTCTGCCCTCAGCGTCCTCCAGTGAACCAAGTTTTCAGCTAAGTTCGACCATCTTATAAAGGATATACTTAATGTGCCTTTTCATTGGAAGTGTGTGTGTGTGTGTGTGTGTGTGTGTGTGTGTGTGTGCATGTGTGTGGTGTATGCATGTACACTCAGCACTCGCCTGTGGGTTTAGGGATGTGGGCAGATATGTATGTGCACTGTTTGCATGCATTTCTGTGGATACAAGCTAAACATGTTCATGAAGACACAGCTCTTTGTGTAAATCCTCTATCTACAAATAAAGATCCGAGTTTGTCTGCTTATTTGTATGCACACTCAGTTCACACGCTTGTCCCATTCTACTTAGAAAAGCATCACCAAGGAAAATAGTAGGAAAACAGAAAGGCAGGTAGTCAGTGTCTTTTTGAGGCTAGGGTGGTGTGGGAGTGGAATTTCTGGCCCAAAGACAAAGTTAGAGATAACCTCACAGCCTTTGTAGCGGGAGGAAGCAAGTACGATGGACCCACAGTGAAGGCTGAATGTGGCTTGAATTCTAGGCTAGGGACATGGATGAGAGAAATGAAGTTGATGTACTTGTGTCTTATTCAATACTGAGATTTTTTTCCCCTCTGGAAATCAGGCATGGGATGATTTTCTAATTTGCCCCCCTTTTCTGGTTCCTCCATATTGGTAAGGAAGGGGTGTGCTTGAAACTCTGGAGTTCCTGCCCCCCACCTCTTTTATGGGAAAAATTCCAGTTTCAAAAAAGGAGGGGGTTGGTTGAGGCTGTGGGAGAACAAAGAGGCTCCCCACCATGGGGTCTGGATTCTGGCCCAGATTTGGGACATTATAGGGCTCACATAGTGTGTTGGGGGAGCGTTTTTCCTGTCCAGGGTCCTGGCTGCAGGACAGAAGAGATTTGTGGAGGATAGAAAAGACAGGGTCTGACTATCCAGGCAAGAAAGGGATGTTTGAAATTAAGGAAGGAACCGGGGACTCAAAAAGGCCTACGGATGGGCATCTGTGAGTGTGTGTTTGAAAGGGGAGATCCATACACTGAGGAAATGCATGCAGGCTGCAAAGGGCCTATATTTATATATGTATGTTTACATGTAATATTGGTGGGGAGAGAAGGAAAGTAGCTAAATTTGGTGCTCTTCTGCCCTCCTTGTTCCTTCTCTTCCTCCTTCTGGAAGGTTGGGGTACCTAAGGAGTGTATCCCCACATAGGCTATATCCCAGGCCCCAGGCCCCCTCTGGAACCTGCTCTCCTCCTATCTCTCCACTCTCAGAGCCTGGCCTCAGAGAAGGGCCAGTGAGCCTTTTCTCCCAGCTTGGAAACTCACCTTTTCTGACAGCAGCTGCCCCCCTGGCATCTTCCATTTTATTCTTCTAACCTCCCTTGGCTCCCAGCTTCAGGGGAGATGGGACCATGGTAGCTGAGGCTTCATTTTGCTCTTTGTTTAAGAATTTTACATTCTTCGACTCAAACTTGCCTTCATGCAGGTGCTTTTAAATTGCAGGAAGATTTGCTTCTCTCTGTTGCCTAACTAGGACTTGCAATGCTGGCCTAGGCTTGAGGCTATCCCAGACCCTGTCTCTCTGATTCAGTGGAGATCCGTGCAGTAGGCCACCTCTATTCTTTCCCTGAATTCCCACCCAGCATGTCCTCATGAAGACTTTACCTGTGGAACTAAGCTGCATCCGAACAAATCAGGTGTCCTCTTGAAGGTGAACCATAGAGAAGCCACCTCCAATGACATCTTTCCTTCTTCCTCAGTTGCCAACCTCCTGTCTCCAAACTACCTCATCTTTCCTTTTCCAAGCCCTTTCCCAATCCTCACCCCATACGCTTCCTTTTCTCTTGTCAGCATCTCAGTCTGTCACCCAGAAAAAATAGTTTAAAAGT